GAAAAAAAAAATAGAAATTTAAAGAAAAATAAATAATAAATAAAGTTTATAATTTTAATTAATAATTTAATAAAGCTTAAAAACTAAAATACTATTTAGCTTTTATTTTAAATTTTAAAAATAATTTTTATTATTTAATATTATATTTCTATTTTTTTTAATTTTTTTAAATATTTATTTAAGAAAATATATTTAAATTTAGAAATAATTTTTTTTTTTTTTTTTTAAATTATTATTAATTATTAAATTTAAAGAATAATCTAAATTATTATTTTAATAATTAATTATATAATTAAAGCTATTTATTTTATATTTAAATTAATATATTAATATAAAAGAAAATATAAAAATTAAATTAAAAATATATTTAATAAATAATATTTAATAATAGCTATTATAAAATAAAATTTTAATAAATATATATAATAATTAGTTCTTTTTTTATTACTAGTTATATTTATTATTTAATTTCTAAATATTAATATATATAATAAGCTAAATATAATAGTAATATATAAATAACTAATTTTATATTAAAATTTAATATATATAATAAGCTAAATATAATAGTAATATATAAATAACTAATTTTATATTAAAATTTAATATATATTAAGTTATAAATATATAGTAATATTATTTTATTAAATCTTTAAATAATAATATATTTATATATTTAATAATTCCTAATTATAGTATATCGGGCCAATGCAAATTTGGCCTCAAAGGCTACCAAATTTGCTATATCTTAAGTCAAGACATTATATTAATAATGAGAATTGTGAGGGAGCTGTTAAAGTACTGAGACACGCTTCACCGCCTTGCTTATCAATCGATATCGAGGACAGTCCGACTGTCCGGAGACATATCGATAGGATTCTGGGAGTCTGGGCTGTTTCACAACAGCTGCAGTCCGCCTCAATCGTTTTCTCAGCTCTCCTGGGCTGAGAGGCTGAGCAACACATTCAAGCGCATCCCCACCAGTAAATCACACATCGGCAATCCCGATAGGTCACTTGTCTTATCTCACGCTGTGCTTAACTTTCATCACATGTGCATACTAAGACGCTTCAACTCGAACTCCGCCCCCACCATCCGCGAAAAGAAAATTTATTGGTGATGTGGTGGGGGGTGGCGCTGTTTGGCGCTGTACTGTAGAACAAGGCAGGGCAGATATGTCACCATGTTGAACCAATCGCCAAAGTTGTTGAACACCGAAAGAAGAGATGTGCTGCTGTGCAGATGTATGATTAACGGCGGTGTTGAACTATCGGTCGAGCAGCCTTTCTTATGGGGAGGCTGAGGTCTTTTGGAGCGATATTTTTGGCACCTTAAAACGGCGAGGACTTGGGGAAAGTCAGTCATATTAGGCACGAGTTCCCTGAGGCCGGAATATAGCTGCGAATGCGACATCCTGACCCTCTTGTAGCTTAATACAGACTCTGTCTGTATTGGAAAGTAATTGATTCGAGTCGTCATCGTGACTGTCGAGCTGGATCGTTCCAGCGACCTGCTCCTGGGCCCAATGGCCAACAATGGGGCCTACCACAATGAGAGGCTTGGAAGAGTAGATGAGGATAAATTACAAGGAAGTAATTCTGTTACAAAGAAGAGGAGGACCAGAAGTCAAGGTCGGAACGAGCTTAGGTACGGGTTATCCACTTCTCCGTGACCAGAAGAGCACTGATAATCATCGCAGACGATCACTGAGTGAGCGTCATGTCAACATGATAACATTCTCCGCGACCATCGGCATTGGACTCTTTCTCCAGTCTGGTAAAATCATGTATCTGATTGGGCCTGGGGGGGCGGTTCTGGCGTACTTGATAATGGGGACTTTGTTGTGGTCTGCTAACGCCTCATTGGGAGAGATGACTGCCATTTTCCCTGTTAAAGGTCCCATAATCGATTTCCCCGCTCGGTACCTTGATGAGAGTATTGGATTCGCTGTTGGTTGGATGGCCTGGTAAGGCAATGTCTGGGCTGGCAAGATACAATCAGGGATGGAGCTGATCCAGTGCAGGTTCGCATACATAAACTTGACCGCAACTGAAGTCTCGGCCGTAGCATCAACCTTTAAGTTCCAGTTTGATCCGGCCTACCTCCAGTCAGTCAATTATCCTCTAGATCAGCTACAATGGACATTTGGTCTCAACACCGACCCCGCGGTCTGGATCGGAATGTGTCTCCTCGCTATTCTTATCATCAACCTCCTTCCTGTCCGAGTATATGGCGAGATCGAGTATGTTTTTGGGACCATCAAAATCGTTGTCATTACCGGCATTATTATGATGCAGGTGATCCTCAACGCACGAAATCCCAACGGAAATACAGACGCTGGGGCCTTTACATTCTACCAATCGCCATGGGGGTTCTTCTCCAATCAGGTAAATTAAATTTTTGAAGAAAATTCCTTGCTTGTTGTCTAGACTCCCAGCATATAATCATTTCATTTCCTTTGCTCCATAAAGTACGTGCGAGGTATATTAACACAGAAATCTAATCCACCGTAGACAATTACAGACCCTCAAGGTAACCGGACATACACTTTCACAGGCGGTACTGGGAGACTTGTCGGGATGTGGTCCGCCATGAACACGATATTCTTTTCTCTTCAAGGCTTCTTTACAGTCTCTGTTACTGCAGCTGAGAATAAACACCTTGACAGGGACGAAACCATCAAACTAGCCAGCCGCAAGATTGCTCTGCGAGTGATCCTCCTCTACACTCTCATCGTCTTCACAGTCGGACTCAATGTTCCTTACAATGATATAAATTTACAAGACCAGACTATCAGCTCCATTCGTCGGGGACAGAATTCACCTGTCATCATATCCTGTGTGCGGAATGGAGTTACTGGATGGCCTCATTTCTTCAATGCCTTTTATATCTTCTCTGCATTCTCGACTGGAATCAATGGGTTGTATATTTCTAGTAGGCTGTTGCATGCCCTAGCTAGTATCAGGAATGTATGGCCAACAACTGGGTGGGGAAACAATATCAAAATGCGCCTGGAGAAGACAAACAGTAAGGGTGTGCCTGTTAATGCGGTGCTCGTGAGCTGGGTATTTGCGTTCTTGGGATTCTTGGCGGTTAAGCCTGAGCCTCAAAAGGTATACTTTCATAGTTCCTTCAACAACCGGAAATTGTGCTCACCTATACTCACAGCTCCTTGGACGTTTGGCCATCTTCTCAACCTGTTCCATGCTCATAGTCTACATCTGCACATCCGCGTCATTTCTCTCCTTCAAACGTCTTACCATAAACGGCGACTCCGACGAAGGAGTCCTCATCTCTACTCCCGACGGTACTTTTCTAAACCGCAACGCATCCGACTATCCATACAAATCCCACGGACAATGGGTTCGTGCAGCCTATGCAACCACCGGCTGCGCCCTCCTTGCTACCTTTAACGGGTGGCGCTCCTTCTTAAGCCCTTTCTCCCATGCGGACTTTCTGGCTGCGTATATGGCGATTCTGGTTTTTGTGATTTTGGTGGTGTTGTACCATTTGAAGGATGAGTCGGAGTGGATGCCCTGGCACTGGGGAATTAGGAGAACCATGGATATTGGGAATCCGGTGGCGACGAGGGAGAAGGATCCGCAGATGAGGAAGGGGAGATTGCATAGAGTTGATAAGGAGGTGGTGTGGAGTTGGGGAAATACGAGGGCATTTTTTGTTTGGGTTTGGGTTTGGCTGAAATAAGTAGTGGGTGTCTAGGACAAAGCTCGGAACAGGATGACTTGATACCCTTTTGTTCTTAGCTGTCGAGAGGAACCGGGCTCGGGAGGTGGAGGGGAAGCGATCACTGAGCATTTGTAGACTCAGACCAGATGTGGTTTTTGCACGACGAGCCTTATCCAGATGATAAGAAGATTATGGAAGCTGTCGAGAATGAATTGAGGGTATGTCTAGGTTTGGCGGGTGCAATGGCCCTTTTTGATTGCTTTATCATAGGATATTCCAGGCTTGGCAACGATTGGCGTTTTTAGTAATCAATAACAATCGTTGCCATAATTATAAGGTATTAATTGAATCGATCTGTAATCGATTTTAAGCGAGCTAATCCCTACTATTACTATAATATTATCCCTAATACCGCACAAAACGTATACTCTAGAGAAGCTTATATAAGAGTAAAATTTAAACTAGAAGCTAGGCTACTAAATATATAATATAAGTAGATAAAAGGTATTAAATAAAGAAAAGAAAAGAGAAATAAAAGAGGAAAAAAGAATTAAAAAGAAATTAAAAATTAAAAATTAAAAAAAAGTAAAAATTAAAAAAAGCAAAAATTAAAAAAAAATTAAAAAAATTAAATATTAAATATTATATATTATATAATATATTTTTTAAGCCTTAAAAAGTTTTTAATAAATATTATAATTTAAATAAATTATTAAAAATAAAATAAATATTAAAAATAAATAATTAAAAGACTAGTTTTATTTAAATAAAATAATAAATAATATAAATATAAAAAAGCTTTATAATACTTTTATTTTATTTTAGTTCTTTTATATAATATTTTTATTAAATTATTAAATAATATATAAATTTAAAAAGCTTTTTATAATTTAATAAATAAATTATTTATTAATATTTTAATTATAATATAAAAGAATATATAAAAAAGAATTATATTAATTTATATTAAGTTTTTATATATTTATTTAATTATTAATTATTTTAAATAAAATATATAAAAAGAAAATTAATTAAAAGCTTTTTTTATTATATAATTTTTTTATAAGCTTTAATAATTATATATTTCTTAATTAAATAAAATAAAAAATATTTATTTTAATTATATAATTAATATAATATATAATTAATACTAAAATTAATTTTTTAATTTTACTTTTATTAATATTAAAATTATTAAAAAAATATTAAAGTAATATTTTTAATTACTAATAATAATTTTAAGTTTTAAAAATTATAATATTATATTTAATAAAAAATAAACTTCTTATATTAATATTTAAATTAATTATAAAAATTTATATAAATTTAAAATATAAAATATAATTATTTTATTATTATATTTTAGTAATAATTAAAAAAAATTAAATAAATATATAAAAAGAAATTAATAAAATATATTTAAAAACTTATTTTTTAAATAAATTAATAAAAATTATAAAAAATTATAAAAAAAATTCTTAAAATTAATTTTTAAAGCTATATAATATATTAATATATTAAAGTTAATAAAGTAATTAATATTTATAAAATATAAAATTATATAATTATATTTTATTATTTATTATTTATTATATATTATTTATTATTTATTATTTATTATTTATTATTTATTATTTATTATTTATTATTTATTATTTATTATTTATTATTTATTATTTATTATTTATTTTTTTTTTTTTTTTTTTTTTTTTTTAATTATATTAATCTATATTATATTAATCTATATTATATTTAATCTATATTATATTAATCTATATTATATTAATCTATATTAATATTAATTTCTATATTATATTAATCTATATTCTTTATTTAATTCTTTATTTATTTATTTTATTTTTCTTATAATATTTTTCTTTTTAATATATAGCTTTCTAATATTGAAAATTATATAATTAATTTCTAAGAATTTTATTATATTTATATATTTTATAACAGCATTCCGATTATAATTGGATATAAGCGGGAAATCAGAGTAATTATTTCTTTTAGAACCAAAAAGGCATCAAAAATTCTCCGAAAATTCTCAATAATATTCCCAAGTAATAAGAGGGAGCTCCGATTGAGAACGGATTGGTGGGGTCGGAGGAACAGCAGAATCCTCCTCATGGGAGGCGGGTGGAGTGTTTCCTGCCCTTTAGTGGCCTGCTTTTGCGGCCGCTACCTAGATCGAGAGTCCAGACCGGAACGTTAAGAGGTTATAGATGGTCTGCGGTAGCCTAGCTGTAACACCAACCTGGACCTTTCTGAAGCGCAGGACCTTTCCGCGTTCAGCGTCTAGAAGCACTGCTTTTCCAAGATAAGAGCGTGTCGGCAGAGTCAAGGTTTCCGGGTCAGTGTGCACCGAGGTGGAGGCGCAAGACCCTTACGGAAGCCGCTTCCGGGATGAGTTGCGGCAGAGCCGAAGCGCCGAGCATCTCGAGCTGAGAACCTGCCGCTAACCAGTCCTTGACCTCTCCTAGTTGTTCTTTCTAATTATTACCGTTCCTCCCCTACTTCTATACCAATCTGGAGGTACCTGCCGCTCGTAGATCAAACCGCTCCCCTTCCACGAACTCCTTCCGCCCGTCAACGATAGTACTACGACAGGTCCGAACAGAATGCGTAGTCCAACTAGTACGCCATGGCCCGCATTTCCCTAACTTAAGCCGTGGTACCCTTGAAAGTCGACCTACACCTCTCCAAACACCAGCGCGGCTAATTCCCTATCGTAAATGTCCGTCTCAAACCCCCAACTAAGGCTTCCACCCTCTAACACCTACTTTACCTCGGACCCGGCAAACTGGGGATAAATAATTCGGTCGCAGCTGCTCGTGTCTGTCGGGCTTCACAGTCCTTATATCTAATTATATTATATCTAATTATATTATATCTAATTATATTATATCTAATTATATTATATCTAATTATATTATATCTAATTATATTATATTTATATTAATTAAATTTAATTCTTTTTTAATTTATTTAATTTCTATAATTTTTTATTATTTATATATTTAATAAAAATATATTTTATAAAATATAAAATATTTCTTTTAAATAATATCTAATTTAATAAAGTATTTATATAATAATTTTTTATATTAATAAAAAACTAGTAAATAATATTAGTATATCTAATTTTATTTATTAAAACTAAAATATATTTAATAAAAAAAAGAAATTTCTATTATTTATAAATAAAATAATTAAATAGAAGAATTTCTTTATTAATTTTATTAATTTTAGATTTCTAGTATTTTTATTAAATATTTTTATATTAGTTTTTAAGAATTTAATAACTTAAATAGTAATTAATAAATTATATAAAGCTTCTAATTAATAGACTAATATAATATATTTTTTAATATATTAGTTTTTAATAAAAAGATTTTAATAAATAGTATTTTTATTATTTATAATAATATTATTATTTATAGAAATAATTTAGAGATTTTTATATTAGTATTTCTATATAAAAGTAATTCTAGTAATATTTATATAAATAATATTTTTATTAAACTCGAAATTATAATAAAAAATAAAAATATAAAATTTATATTTTCTAGCTAAAAATTTAGTTTTTTAAATCTTTAATTATTTTGCTTTTATAAAATTATTAGTTTTAATAAATAAAATATTATTAGTTTAAAAACTAATTATTATAGGCCAGGCTTTTATATAAAGAAAACTAGTAATTTAATTAACTAAATAAAATTATTTAAAAAAAACATTAAAAAAACAAGAGAAATATAATTATATTTTTTAAATTTTTTAAATAATATATAATTATTTTATTAATTTAAGAAAATATATTATATAAATTTTTAATTAAATATATAAATCAGGTTTCGATTTATTATATTACTTTTCTTTTTATTTATAAATACTAGTTTTATAAATATATAAATAAAACTTCTTTTTATTAAATAATTTCTTTCTAAATTTCTAATAGTATTATTTTTTAAAATATAGAATATAGTTCTTATATAAAATATATATAATTCTTTTATTTTATAAATAGTTTTTTTAAAAGCTTTTAATTATATTTTATATATTTCTTATTAAGAATTCATTTAATTTTATACTTGTTTTTATTTCCTATAAATTATAATTATAGTTATAAATTATTTTAAAACTAATTTAATAATAAGTTTATTATAGCTAGCTAAAAAAGCTTATTATAAAATATATTATAGATTTCTAGAAAGATTTTAAGCTAAAAATTATAGCTTTTTATTACTTTAACTATTATATATTTAATATATTTTATATTAAGCTTTTTAGTTAGTTTATTTATTTAAATATTCTAGAAATTAAACTAAATTTTATTTCTAAATTTAAATTCCGGAATTTAATATTTCTTTTAATTTAATATTTCTTTTTAAAATTACTAGATTATTATTATTATAATTTATATATATATTTATATATTATAAAGCTTATATATAAAATTATTTATTATTTAAATAAGTAATAATTCTTTGCCTTTTTTAATAATTTTATTCTAAAGCTATATTAACTTAATATATAATAAAAGAATTATTTAGTTTATTTAATTATAATTTATAAAAATTTAATTATTTAATTTTTTTATAAACTTGTTTATTTTAGAATAATATATTATAAATAATTAATAAATAATATTTAATAGCTTATATATTCTAGTTTATAATACTTTTATAAATTATTTTTTCTAATTAAAAACTATTATTTCCAGAAACTTATACTAATAATAATAAATTCTTATAAACTACTTTATTATTATTTCTATTATAATATTTATTATAGCCTTAAGTAATTTTTTTTAAAATAATTTATAATAATTATTATATTAATATATTCTTTATTTAAAAAAGTTTTATTATAAAATTAATTAAGATCTTTTATTAGATTTAATTTGAGATAAAAAAAGGCTTTAGAAATCTTTAATAATAATTTCTTTATATTTTATTTCTTTTATAAGTATTATAATTCTATATAAATTAATATATTTAATTAAAAGAATTATTATATAAAAAGAATATTTCTAATATTTCGTTTTAAGTAATTATATTAAATTAAGTTATAAATCTATTAAATTAGGAATTTATTATTATTTCTTTTCCTAAAAAGAAATTATTTTAATTAAAATAATAAATATTTTCTTATTAATATTTTAATTTTTATATTATTTTAATTATAGTCTAATATAACTTGTTTTTCTTTTAAATATTTTATTTATTTATTTATTTATTTATTTATTTATTTATTTATTTATTTATTTATTTATTTATTTATTTATTTATTTATTT